CGACACCCTCATCAAAAGGTCCGTTGGCCCTTTGGTCTCCAACACGCTCTCCTATCAGCGCCAACGGGTCCCGGGGGTGGAGACCTCCGCTCTGGGGACGCTTGACGATACGATGCACATCCTCTATCAGGTCGGGACATATTTCAGTGGGAGAAAATGAAGGGATTATCTATGTCAATAGTGAGCGCCAATTTATTGCAAGCTATCATGTCTACCCACTAACTAGCTCTAGATATATTTCCGCACCGATTACAATGGCTGCTGCGGGGACCCCTCAGCCATATTCAACCTCTCGAGGGGTTTTTGACACGAGTGAATAACCCAGAACTAGCGGCAGCTGACCCAACTCGTATTGTTCAACGAGCCTTTCCCGGAGAACTAGGTCTGGAGATCAAAGAGGTCGTGACGAGGTACAAAGAGGGAGGTGCATTCGTGAAGTATGCGCTCAAGTCGGACATCAGCAACGAAATTATCCAAGATGCAATCAAGGAACACTTGAAGACCAATCCCATTAGGCCCTGGTTTAATCCGATCCTGAAAGTCGATGCAGACCTTGTTCGCGGGACGCCGTGGATCGAAGACCTCTATCGAATCCCAAGCCAGACCCTAAAGGTGGAATTCTTGCCAACATCCCCAGACAACTCAGCGGCGGAATTAACTCAAGAGTCCCTATACTCAATGTTCCGACCTTACGGCAAACTTCTGGACATCCAAACACAGCCCTCAGATTCGAAGGTCGAACCAAGATATGCAATTCTGCGATTCGAGCGCCCTCGGTTCGCCGTGATGGCAAGAAACTGCATGCACGGATTTATTGTTTCCGAGGAAGCAGGGGGCGGTAAGTCCGGTACAAGGTTCAAGATCAACTACGAGCGCAAGATCAAGCTGTTTATGATCAAGGATTGGATTTTGAACCATCCGAGACTGGTGATTCCTGCTATAGCTGCTCTGATAGCTACTATCACGGTCATCATCTTCGATCCAATTCGCACGTTTTTTGTCACGCTCAAAATCAAGTCATCGTACCAGAGTGAAGAGAATCCAGTGCTTCAGTGGGTTCGCAAACAAGCCAGCAAAGCGAGCATGTTCCCATTCGCTAAGCGGAAGTCGGATCCGCGAGGTCTAGCGGCTATCTGGGACGACCGACAAACAGAGATTGCGCAACTGCGAGCCTGGTTAACGGAGACCGCAGAGACCTTCATTGTTATTCATGGTCCCCGGGGCTCAGGCAAGCGCGAGTTGGTTCTAGAACAAGCTCTGAAAGAGCACAAGTATAAAGTCATCATTGACTGTAAGCAAATTCAAGATGCTCGGGGTGATACAGCCAAGATCTCACGAGCAGCCGCTCAGGTCGGCTACCGACCGATCTTCTCTTGGATGAACAGCATCAGCAGCTTCATTGACCTTGCTGCACAGGGAATGATTGGCACTAAAGCTGGCTTCTCCGAGACGCTAGATGCACAGTTGAGCAAGATCTGGCAGAATACTGGTGTCGCGATGAAGCGAGTTGCCTTGGAAGGTAGACGAAAGGAGGACAAAGATTTCAACATGTCCGAAGATGAATATCTGGAGGCTCATCCCGAGATGAGACCTGTCGTTGTAATTGACAATTACCTCTATGATGCGGACGACAGTGTCGTGCTCGACAAACTTACTGAATGGGCGGCTGGTTTGACATCCGCAAACATCGCTCATGTCATCTTTTTGACGACCGATACCTCTTTTGCAAAGCCACTGAGCAAAGCTCTGCCTAATCAAGTGTTCCGTACAATTGCCTTGGGTGACTGCTCGCTCGAAGTTGGTCGTCGTTTCGTGTTGAGTCATCTGGATGCTGAGGCAGGCGATGGTGACGATGAACAGAATGCAAAGCGAAAAGAGACGCTTCGTGGGTTGGATTATTGTATCAAGGTGCTGGGTGGCCGAGTCACTGACTTGGAGTTCATGGCTCATCGGATTGAGGCCGGAGAGACCCCTGAAGGTAAGTCTATCTTTTGTTCTACCTCAAGAATTCTGTTGACCATTGTATAGCTGCCGTGGACCGTATTATTGAACAATCGGCGTCTGAAATTCTGAAGATCTTCATCCTCGGAACAGAGTCGGTTGCACCTCAATGGACCCGTGAACAGGCGTGGTATATCATCAAGTCTATCGCCAATTCCAAGGATGGAAACCTGCTGTACAGCAAAGTCCTCCTCGGCGATATATTCAAGGACAACGGCGAGGCCACTCTCCGGGCACTAGAGCAAGCAGAGCTCATCTCCATCGGAACTGACAAAGGATTCCCACGATACGTCAAGCCGGGCAAACCCGTGTATCGCGCTGCTTTCCAACGCCTAGTTGCGAACAAGACCCTGCAGGGCCGTCTTGATCTGTTAATTCTCTCAAAGCTCATTGGCAACGAGAACTCAAGTATCACAAAGTATGAGGAGGAGCTGCGGGTCCTTGGCTCGCTGCCAAAATACCCCTGGGAACTAACGTCACGGATTGAGTGGCTTCTGCGCAAAGTTCACGGATCGCAAGCGAAGATTCTCAAGTATGAGAGTGAAAGTGCTGCCTTGTCAAAGAGTTTGCAGAAGGAGAATTGAGATGTTAGCTATAGTGTATCAATCTCGTCTCAATGCCACTCCACTACTGAAAATACTATGCACATGTGGTATTGAATCCAGTTCCTTTGAGAACCTCCCATAATTATATAGAAAGAAATCACAGTCTATTTTGAATATCAATGAAAATCGACAAAAATAAGACCCAGGTGCCCAGGTGAGACCATCGAGCTTAGTAAGCTAGAAAAAGACCCCGGCCTCCGTTCGCCATCCTGTCCCTTTACCCTTCACCTGTGATGTATTAATTTGAAAATTCTTTGGAGCAAATCAAATTCAATTGTGTATTATACATTTTTATCTACCTCGAACCCTCCAGTGGGTGCTGGCGCTGTGTTATCTTGCGTGGCAGGGTCTGTTTTGAGCAGCGTTGATTCAACCACAATGGAGAGGTACGAAGCCTTGAGTCTTATACAGGCCGCCCGTGAGAGATATTTCAGTATAAATTGGTCAACGGCTTTTGCTGTTGTGGTTTTCGTATGCATCACAACCCGGATTATCTCGGGGCTTCAAAGTCGACGTGATCGAGATTCAAAATCACAGACGGTGCGAGTTGCACCTTATTGGTTTCCCTGGATTGGACATGGCCCTGCCTTCTTATGGAATCATGTTACCTTCTTTACAAAGACTCGGTTGGTCTTCCACTATATTGCCATTCTATGTGCCTGCTAATAAGATTATAGGGAATCTATGAATGAGCCTGTCTTTGGCATTTACATCCGTGGTGTGAAGCACAATGCCGTGGCTTCTCCATCTATGATGAAGACTGTCTTTTCTGCCAAAGCTGCCACGCCACGCAACCAGGTGCTCGATCAGGCTCTGCAAAACGTCTTCGGTGACCGCAGCCTCATCCGAAATCTGGATTTGGATCGTAACCAAGGAGTTAGCGACAAGGCTTCTACCATTCTCAACGAAGAGGCTTTTGTCATTGGAGCTTCGTCTACTATTATCCGTTTGGTGCAGCGGGACATGTCGAACTTGGTGAGCTTCTGCCGGAGCATTGTTGACCAATGCCCCTGGGAGCGTGGAATGAGTGGAGTTGAAGTTCCTGAAGGTGACCAGATGGTCTGCGAGGCCAATTTGTTTGCACTCATGAGCAATTTCATTGGGCACGTCACTTCTACTTTCCTGATGGGTGAGGCTTTTGTGGAGAATTTCCCTAATCTCTCAGAAGACCTTGGAAGAGTCGACGATTGCTTTGTGACATTATTCGCCGGCACTCCTCGTTGGGTCCCGCATCCAGCGGCTTCAGCAGGACATGCGGCTAGTGATCGTCTTCGCCATATCTTTTCGGTCTTTCACCGAGCTTTTACTGCTTGGGATGACGGGATCGACGCCGGCATTGAACTGCGTGATCTTGACGATGTCTCAGAACTGGTCAAAGATAGGATGCGGACTTTCCGAACATTGGAGCTATCTCCACGTGCCAGTGCTGCAGGGCACTTGTCCCTGTATTATGACCTGATTGAAAACATGACCAAGATCACTTTCTGGACAATTACTCATCTCTTTGCCGAACCTTCCCTTCTCGATCAAGTCCGCAAAGAGATCGCCTCTTACGTGGTGGCCTCTAGACCAAGTCGCGAGGAAACGGGTTTCCCCTTCGATGAACCTCCTCGTCTCTCTCTGGACATTGAAAAAGTGCTCACGTCTTGCCCGCTGCTCAAAGCATGTTACTATGAGACTGTGCGCCTTCATTCTGCAGGAATTTCATTCAAGAAGCTGGCGTCTGATTTGACACTTTCCGAGTCGGCAGAAGAAGCCGCCTATCGTCTCGCAGAGCCCCGTACATACAAGATTGCAAAGGGCGAGGGTATCATCCTGCCCCATGGTGCTTATTACCATGATGCTCGATACTTTTCAAACCCAGAGCAGTATGATCCCCTCCGATTTGTCGCGACTGATCCTGCTACGGGAAAACAACAGGCTGATCCAAGTATCCTCGCTCCCTTTGCGGACGGGTTGTATGGGTCGACAAACAATGGCTTCACCGAGCGAGCTATCTTGACCTTCACTGCTGGCATCGTGGTCTTGTGGGATATTGAGCCCACAAGTGGTGAGTTCCTCTCAGTTCCTGGCCACAAGACTAGCTGGGGGGCTTTCCGACCGACCAAGGAGCTGCGAGTGAAGATGAAGTTGAGGGTATAGATTACATCGGAGCATTGCGTGGTATTTTATTATAGAGAGCCTGGTAAATTCAAATTTTTCATACACGACAGGCTCCGGGCTGACTTCATTCGATTGCGGCGACGGTTGGGGCTGAGTAACGCGGGAGGTCCGAGGTACTGCGGCCTTGCGCCGATGACACCATCCACTAAGAGGAGGGGAATATATAAGTACCTATTAGGCTGGCTATATTTCCTCGATAGTTCCTGAATTATTATTCAAAAGAAGAACAAAATGGAACAAAATCCTAACAGGGACTACGATCTCACAGCCCCAATCGCTTCCACGTCTGGACTTCGCCAGGGTCTGACATCATATGGAGATGCTCATTTCTCCCTCTTTCTCCGCAAAGTGTTTATCAAGGCACTGGGGTATTCAGAGGATGCGCTTTCACGTCCAATCGTGGGGATTATCAACACTTTCTCAGGGTTCAATCCCTGCCATGCCAATGTGCCCCAGCTCATTGAGGCTGCCAAGCGCGGCGTGCAACTAAATGGAGGACTGGCAATGGAATTTCCTACCATTAGTGTGGCCGAATCATTCTCTCATCCGACCAGCATGTTCTTGCGCAATCTTATGAGCATGGATACCGAGGAGATGATACGGGCCCAGCCGGTGGATGCTTGTATAATGATCGGGGGTGAGTTCCAATCATTTTAGTCTAGCATTGCTTTCCTGTTATGCGAGAATAGCCACTGAGAGAACTTAGGGTGTGATAAAACCGTTCCTGCTCAGTTGATGGGTGGCATCTCTGCCAACAAGCCAATCCTACCACTGATCACCGGCCCAATGCTGCCAGGAAGCCACCGCGGTCAGCGCATTGGAGCTTGCACCGATTGCCGAAACAACTGGGCGGCTTTTCGAGCGAGTGAAATTGACGTCGAGGAAATATCGGCCATTAACGAAGAGCTTGCTCCAACGGTATGTGCAGATGGGCTCTCATCAGACACAGGGCCATTTAGGTCGCTAATCACAATGGTTACGTGTTCAGATAGGGACATGCGGTGTCATGGGGACTGCTAGTACAATGGCTTGTGTGACTGCTGCGTTGGGAATGATGCCGCTCCGGGGTGCAACTGCACCAGCAGTATCATCCGCGAGACTGCGAATTGCCGAGGAGACTGGCGCAAATGCAGTCGCAATTGCGAGGTCTAAGAAAAAGCCACAAGAAATATTGACAAAGGAATCATTCTGGAATGCCATCACAGTGCTCCAGGCTATTGGGGGTTCGACAAATGCGGTTGTTCATCTGCTCGCTATTGCAAATAGGCATCCAGAACTGCAGGGAGTCATTACTTTAGATACTATTGAGGAGATTGGCCGCAGAACTCCGCTGTTGATCGATCTCAAACCGAGTGGCGATAACTATATGAATGATTTTCACAATGCAGGAGGCATGATGGCGCTGTTGCAGGTGCTTCGACCCCTGCTCCATTTATCTGCTGTGACAGTCACTGGGAAAACGCTGGGTGAAGTCCTGGATGCGTCCCAATCCAAGCGACTTTCCTTTGCGCAAGAGATTATTCGGCCAATGTCAGACCCTTTGTTTCCCGCGTCATCCCTGGCTGTTCTGCGCGGCAATCTTGCCCCAGACGGAGCGGTCCTCAAAGCCTCAGCGTCAAAATATCGGCACTTACTCTCGCACAATGGACCGGCTGTAGTATTTGAGAATTCGGCCGACCTTGCTCAACGGATCGATGATCCAAACCTTGTTGTGACGAAGGATAGTGTGCTGATCCTGAAAAACATTGGTCCGGTTGGCAACCCAGGTATGCCGGAGGCTGGCCTTATACCGATTCCAAAGAAGCTAGCAGAAACAGGAGTGAAGGATATGCTACGACTTTCTGATGGTCGAATGTCAGGGACCGCGGGCGGAACCATTATCCTCCATATCTCGCCTGAAGCTGCACTGCCAGAGTCACCATTTGGTGTGGTGGAAACAGGTGACTTGATAATTTGCGATATTGAGTCTAGGAAGTTGCACTTGGAAGTTCCCGAGGCAGTATTACAGACTCGAATCGAGAAACGCAGGCAGAGCCTTGTAGAAGAGACGCAGGCAAGAAAGCAGAGGAGAGGCTACCGCGGGTTGTATGAGCGGTCGGTGAATCAAGCACAAGAGGGAGCAGACTTTGATTTCTTGACAGCTGGAGGTGCCAGCAGGTAGAACCTATTTCAGATACAAATTCGATGTTAAACGATATGACCTTTGGTCCATCGAACCTTGGAATGTCTGGAGAAAGGCGCCCTTACCCTGAGCCCTGAGCCCTATTGTATTACCCAATCGGGTTAAATCAACCAAGGCGCGTAACGCGGACGCGTTCGACCTTGTAGATCCCTGGCAATCTGTTCTCCACCAGATTAAGATTGAACGATGCTCCAGACTTTCTAATTGAAACTTGATTGAATTATCTACGTCAGGCCTCGTTTGCAATGAGTTTTGACCCTCTTCGCCCGCGAGGGCGACCAGCCCGTAAGTCATACTGATTACTTGGGGGACTACAATAATTAACTGCGGCTTTCACATAGACACACCCGGCACAACGATATTGGCCTACACACCTGACGGACGACGGATCATTACCGGTGGTTCCAATTCGGCAATTCGTATCTACACGGTCGGCGAAGATGGGGAGCCTAAGACTATCGACGAAGGTGTTGACGCGCATTTCGGCATTGGTGCTACGGTATGTTGGAACAGAACACTCAGGATCAACCGAAGGAACTGACAGGATCGCTAGAATCGGTCTTTCGTCATGGGCGCCGAGGATGGAACAGTCTGGAAGTACGACATTATGTCGGGCAAGATGCAAAACTTGCTTGTACGATGCGCTTTGCCGGTCAGGGATATTGCAGTGACGAGAGACGGAGAATGGGTCGCGGTAGCAAGCGAGTAAGTATCGCAAGGATTGTGTTTAGACAGGATTGGATGCTAACAGTGGTGGACTAGTGAGCTCACTGTCAAGATCGTGAAAGTCGACGACATGACGCAAGTCAAGTATCTTCGGGAGCAGTCCAAGGGAACGAAACATGTCACATTCGATCCCAGTGGCCGATATGCGACAGTATCCGGAACAGATGGAATCCTCTATATATACTCCATGCACGAAGAAGAGCCGGAGCTAGTTCGCAAACTCGATGGAGTGATTCGACGACTGGAGCCAGATGCCGAGGCAACGTCGAGAGCAGTGTGGCATCCGGATGGTACTGCGTTTGCTTGCGCGGAAGCGACCAGAGATATCTCTATCTACTCAACCTCGGAGTGGAAGAAAGAGAAAACATTTGCTGGTCATACCGGCGACATCACGGCCTTGAGCTGGGCCCCGAACGGTTCTCTTCTGGCGTCTGCAGCGTCAGATGGATATATTGTGCTATGGGAAGCGAAAACACAGAAGATCTTGCAGCGATATGATTTTGGAAATGTGATGAACCTATCCTGGCACCCGACCAAGAATTCTCTTTCATTCACAACTTCAGACGGAGAGCTTTTCATCTACGATAACTTTGTGCCGAAGGATCACGAGTCTTTGCTGCAGAAGCCGCTACAGGCTGCTCCTATCTTGCCCGGGCCTCTGGGCGAGATCTCCAACAATGTTGGGCGAACCACACTGGCGGAGCGGTCCAAAGAGGCGATCCAGCGAGGGGCGAGAAGAGGAACTCCAGACTCGTTAGATGATATTCTTGGCGAAGATGAACAGATGCTGGATTTTGTCGAGGATGATGATGGGGCTGGCTACGCCGATGAAGAGCTAAATCTGTATGGCAAGCGGCCACACGATGATCTCGATGATCTCGGTGGCAGTAGCAAGCGCGTGCACTCTGGCTTCGAGAAGCCCAAGGCCCATCCACCTCTTCAACCCGGTAGCACTCCTTGGGCTGGGAGTAGGAGATATCTCTGTATGTTCTTGTGCCAATTCCATTGAAGATGATTTGCTGACTTGGCCAGGCCTGAACTTGATGGGAGCTGTCTGGACGGTGGACCAGGAGACACATCACACCGTTACTGTAGAATTCTATGACCGAGAAGCTCATCGAGACTTCCACTTTACTGATCCATATATGTATGACAAGGCTTGTCTGAGTGAGTCTTTTCCCGCTTGTCTCGCCTTTTTGTGTTGGACTTTTGGCTGATAAAGTATAGATGACAACGGAACACTTTTTGCCAATAACCCTTCGGATGGTAGCCCAGCCACTATCTTCTACCGGCCACACGAGACTTGGACTGCGCGAGCAGACTGGCGGACTGAATTGCCCGAGGGAGAACAAATTCGAGGTAAGACTTCAAAGGTCTATAGCAAATCTAATCATCTTACTGATGCTAGTTATCAGCTCTGGCACTGAGCGATTCATACATTTTCGCTGTGACATCAAAGGATTATGTTCGAGTGTACACGCTTTTTGGTACTCCTTTCAAGGTGTATCGTCAGAAGAGCCAAGCCGTGACTTGCGCGGCGTGGCGCGACTACATTATGAGTATCGGAACCGGCCCTATAGGGATTGATGGCCACACGACCTTACGATACACGGTGGAGAATGTCAAGCGTGACGAGATATGCCAAAACGAAGACACTGTCGCCCTTCCGGAAGGGGCTTCGCTACAGAGTGTGTTCTTCTCCGATAATGGGGTAAGCGCCACCACACAAAACATTTGGATATGAAATTAACCGTCTTCTTAGGATCCTTGTATCTATGACTCGACTGGCGTCCTACTAATTCTGCAACACTGGCGCGCACCCGGCCAAGCCCGATGGGTACCACTCCTGGACACGAAGCAACTTGCACGTCTCGCGGGAGGACGGAAAGAAGAGACATATTGGCCAGTGGCTGTCGCGCAAGACAAGTTCCACTGTATCATTCTCAAGGGTGGCGACAAGAACCCTTACTTCCCGCGGCCACTGCTCAGTGAATTCGACTTCCAGATCCCGGTTGCCAGCGCTCATCCGAAGGATTCCAGCGTATCCGACGACACAGTAGCCGAGGGTGCCCGTTTCGAGGAATCATTCGTGCGTGGAAACGTACTTTTGTCTCTTTTCCGCGATCTTATCTCGTCGACCAACGCGACGGCAAGCCAACGCTCTGACTTGGCGCGGAGGGAGCTCGACTTGGATAAGAACTTGCTGCAGATGCTGGCCATTGAATGCAGAGACGGCGAGGAGCGCGGTATGAAGGCGCTGGAGCTTGTGGCCTTGATGACGGACCGCAACGGTAAAATGCTCGAGGCGGCCGCTAAAGTTGCACAGCGTTATGGACGTGGTGTTCTAGAGGACAAGATCCGCGATCTGGCTGAGCGGCGTGTTATGGGAATGGGAGACGATGATGAACTGGCTTGAGGATTGGGATTCTTTACGAATAAGACTTTTAGATTAGTCGAAATCAGACCTGTAGACCTACAGACCTGTAACATCATGGATTGTAAGTAGTGAGTCTCAGTATAAAATTGTATACCAGAGCATTCTGATTGGCTCTACGTCATTTTCCCCGACTCCCGACCCGCGACTCCGAGCAACTTCAACCTTCAATTTATCTACATGGCTTGGTAACGTACTAAAATCAGTCTGCTTTTGAAATGCAGAATGCCGAAGCTGGTTTCTCTGCGCACGTCTCTTCCCAATCAGCCGAAGAGCCCTGTCTCTGGCCGGCTTTTTGCTTCGGTTTCGCGACAACGACTGGCGCAACTTCGTCATGGCCTTCTCAATGAACCCTGGCTACCCCCAGCTTCAGCTACACCTCTACCAATCACATATTTCTCTCCGGCTCGGGTGCGCAGGGAGCATGGGGAAGGTCCTCGGAGAACCGATCACAAACCGCCAGATGAAAGAACATTGAAACTCGGAAAGAGTGTGTACTCACTATCTCATTCATTTTCCCAAAAAAAAGCAGCCGTCCAACTAACGATTAAAGCTTTACGAACCCTCTCACCCTTATTACCGACCATCTTGTACAACACCTTACCCACCGAAATCCTCGCCCCGAGTGTTAACCTTCACCTATTCCCATCCACACATCCACATCTCCCCACCGTCAGAGGACGCACACTCTATCGCGCGGCACTATGGACCGTCCCGGTAGCATGGAGTAGCGTACCACTAGTCGGCAACGTGAAATTGCAAATTCTCAGCGAAAGGATCGTACGCGCCGGGACGCTGCTCGACCCCACGCATCACGGTGCCCACCACGACTGCGGCGATGAGCGCCTACTAGTACGGTGGAAAACCGAGCCACGAACAGAGAGCCGCCCCTTCCATGGCCCAGCCTCTTCGAGTGCCGATTCTATAAACTCGAAAACTGCTCCATCCTCACAAAATAGCCATCTCTCTGCTTCCACAAACGGCACTAACAAAGGCTTGAGTGTCCTTCTCGGTGGCGAAGAGCCTATTTTCAAGCTGTCAAAGGAAGAGCAATTCACGGGTATCTTTATCTTCTCCTTCGATGAGGAGGGTCGCATCCTGACTCATACCATCGAGCATGCCGACGAAGCGGACGGCTGGGACCGAACTGCTAAATTCGTGACTCTCACTGACTGGCTCATTGGCAAAGCGCGCGGCTCCTTGGACCCAGCTGTCAATGCTGGACTTGCTATGGCGACTGGTCAAGACGATGGGTTTGCTTCTGGCAGTGGCCGGAGATCGTGACTGCACCCTCATTCGATCATACCTCGAGCAAATTTCTCATTAAATGAAAAATCCCGAGGGTAATGAAAGAACGTACTATGACCGCTGTGTTTATGTACTCTCTTCCAACTTCTTTAGATCTTTTTTCATTCAAGGCGCAGCGGCGTTTGGTCATGAGTATCGAAGGATTGGCCGTTTTGATATTAAACTCCTCTCCCGGTATCCTTGAGACATACCACCGCCACTCATCTATGTACTATACCCTTCTACAGACTAAAAAAAAATGAAAGCAATGGTAAAATCACCTGTCATATACGGAAAAAGTTGTTTCGTATGAAATGTGCTTTTCACCAGATTCTATAGCCCGCTAGCCTTTATCTTTCAACTGTAACACCGAGAAGAAAAATTTCCAACTGAGTGGAGAAAGCAGGCTAGAAGACAGTAACTTGAGTGTAAAAATCGGTCGCTTCTTATGAAAGAAAAAGAGGGAGATGGAGAGACATTTTGGGGGCTGATTGTTCTCTCGGAAGTTGATATTGAGAAAAATGGAAATGGTAATACATTGAGACCATCTTTATATTAAGCATACTTCTGCAATGTGCCTTTATGTACCTATTTACATTACTGAGTCTTTTTGTGCACAGCAGGCGACTTCAACAAGCTGAAAGCTGCAACTGTGACGACACACATGGCGAACCCTCCAGCAGTATAAGCAGCCTCACGGCCGGCCCACCAAAACAGGGAGCAGAACACAATAGGACCAGTTGCCCTACCAGCCTGGCCCCACCCCCGTAAACGACCCATGACCGCGCCGCGATCCGCGTCCTGCGCCTCGAAGCTCCCCAGGCTGTTGAGTGACGTGACAACCGTAGCAGTCGTGACCGCCAGCAGAGCACCGGCAGCATAGAGACCCGAGGGTGAAGAAACGCGAGCAAGACAGAAGAATGAGATAGCACAGGCCACAACACCAGCACGGAGGGTGATCAGCGGCGGGAGGCGGCGCACCAGCGTACCCTGGAGGAGAGAGGCGACCAAGCCCATCAGAGACAAGAGACGTCCATTCAACGCAGCAGGGCTGGCTGTGGTGGCTGATCCTGTGTAGAGAGTTGTAGTCAGGAAAGGGAGGGAAAACTCCAGACCGGAGAAGGGGAGTAGAAAGAGGAAGTGGAGGGCATTGAGAAGGACCGGGCTGTTTGCATGGGTGCGCTTAGTAGGAGCACTGCTCTTCTCTTCTGTCTTCTTACTTGACATATCATTCTTCTCGGTAGAGCTACTCTCGCCCTCCATCTGAAGCGTCGTCAAGCGGGGATGCGTCTCGGGCAAACAGGTCCAAAGATATACAGTCTCCGTAAAGATCAGAGCAAAAGACACAATTGCAGCGACAATGAACGGGTTCTCTGCAACAATATCGATACTGGTGAGCGCCGCACCTAGCGCCGGCCCAAAAGTGAACGCGACACTGAAACAGGCCCCGATTAATGCCATAGAGGAGCCGCGGCGCTCCTCATCCGTGATATCCGCCACAATGGCATTGGCCATTTGCACATTTGCTTCGCTCAGACCGCCAACAATGCGACTGGCGAGGAATGTGCGGAAGTCGGTCGCCGACACCCACAGCGCGACGCTCAAAAGGTTGCCTAGCATGGAGATGAGCAGGGCGCGACGGCGGCCATGCCGATCAGATAGGCGGCCTATGACGGGTGCAGCGAAGGCTTGGAGGAGGGAGAACAAAGAGCCGAGGGCCCCACCGAGGAGTACAATGTCATAGCGCGAGTCAATAGGGCGCGCGAAGGAGTTTTTGTAGGCATTTAGGTAGTGGAAGATGCGGTTGAGGAGGGAATCCGGGGACGGGTCTTGCGTGCGATAAAACGATAGCAGCGAAGGGAAGAGGGGCAGAATAAATGTAAAGGAGATCTGAAGGCATTGTTAGCTGAGTAAATGTGATTGGCTTTAGAGGGGTATCTTGATACCAAATCTAACAACAGCGATAGTATCAGCACCTTTAGCACCCCCTTACGTTGGGCGCCAGCGATGGCCATGGTTGCTGGCGCCGTATATACAATGGAAGATGTAGGGAGGAAAGAAGCAAAAGTGTGCAGAGTGACCAGAATCTCGAGGAGTTGAAAGTTGACACTTGTACAAGAGTAAGATTATTTTAATCAGATTGAGTTACGCCAGAAGCTCCACTGGCATTTCCTATCGTGGGTTAGCGCCCTGCTCTCAAAACGGGCTTCCAAGGTTCATCCAAAATCGCGCTAGTGATAAACGAATACGACTTTCGAGCGTATTCGATTATTTTCATTAGGTCATGCATAATTGTTCCGCACTTGATTCGGTCTTGTGTAATAGCATTACATTACACTAATGCAAGCTACATACAGTCAGTCAGTGGACATAAGTTTTTAACACACCTATAGCCCCACCTAGCTCACCGCCAGTATAGGCATATACCGCCTACCTAAATGAAAACTACGCTAAAATAGTACGCGAAGCTGCTTTGTAAAAAGAAAGATACAATTACCTATAGTATCTCTCCTCTCTAATCTCTTCCAACTCCATACCATCCCCCCCTATGGCGCGTTCAAAAGAGCTTACACCTGCTATACGTGAGCGTATATGCGAGCTGCATGCTATTGGGTGGAGGTTTTAGACCGGCAGTATATTATATAATCAAGGGGTGTGGGGCTAGACGTGTTAAAAACTTATGCCCAGTCACTGTATGTTGGCTAGTAGTGTGTATATCAGATCACGTGACATGGTAGAGTCTCGTACTATATCCATAGTATCATCAGCTATTGACTATTGTCCACCTATTCAAGCTGTGGATCTAGTACACCTGGTAGACCTTGTTCTTTCGAATGAAAGAAGCCCATGTTAAAAGCTATTGTTATCTAGGGCAAATCCCGGAAAGTAATGCAGCACTCATTATGATCAATTTCGATCTATGCCCGACCTAAGCCTGTCCACCGGTCCGTTCACAAGCGCCGATAAAACAATAGCCATAGAATACATATGTATGTCATGAGAGAAACTCTCTGGGGATCGGGAATATGCACGCTGAAAAAATTGCAGGACATGGTCAAGAAGACTTTGGCAAAGCCAGACGAAGAGATCAAAGTGACTCTCCGTGAAGAAAATTCGTTGCGTTCGTGAGCCATCACATCGGACCAGAAATTGCCGAGGCCAGTCCCGAGAATACAGACCCAGAAATCACTCGTTGGAACACCAATTTAGAGACAAATCCCCCAAACTAGCATGTTCCAACTGACATCCTAGGATTGCCACTCTTAGGCGCTGAAAGCAGGAGCTTCCGCCGAGCCAGAGGCAGTGCCGCTTGCACCGCCTCGACCACGTCCGCCACGACCGCCTCGTCGTCCACCACGTCCACGACCCTCACCACCACGGCCCTCACCACCACGGCCCTCACCAGCACGCTTAGCGTCATTCCGGCCTCGGCCACCACGCTGTCCGTGACGGCGGCGTCCACCAGACTTGGCGGCGATCTCACCCTGAGTCGAAACATCAGCGCCAACGGAAGCATTGTTCAAACCCGCATCAGCGCTAGCCGGAGTAGCCTGGAGGCCAGTGTCGGTTTCATCAGGGTTACGAGGAAGCTTGACCCATTCACTGCTCTCATCGGAAGTAGGAGCCCAAGTTTGTTCCGCAATAGAGTTTCCACCATCAGAAACCAGAGTCTGTGTAGGAGGGGCCAACTGATCAGCCTGGGAAGCTGCAGGCTCAGCCTGAGCGCCGAGAGAGGTATCCTGGAGCTCAGTCAGACCGGCGTTAGCCACGGTGGGATCGGTCGTAGGGTCGGTGGCCTGGGTTGCCTCCAGGGCAACTTCGGGAGTCTCCTTGGGCGGAGCGAACTTGTCAGATGCTTGCTTCACGTCGCCATCTAAAGAGATCTAACGTCAGCAAGCACATTCACGGATATTTGGTGGGGGTGGGGAATTCATGACTGACAGGTAAAATCAAGAGTGGTGCCCTCAACAGCATTGACCTTCTCATCGGCACCCTCAGCAATCTTCAGTAGCGAATTAACTGCAGATTGGTTGCCAGCGTACACCTCGAACAGGACACCCTCGAAAGCACGGCTCTCAGTGGTAACGGCGTCACCGTCGCGTCGAAGGATGGCCGCGGCGCACAAGAACTTAGTCACGGTATAGAATTGCTGGCGCAGTGTCTTCTTGGAGGCCTCGGTCGCATCAGCAATGGCGTTATTACGGACAGCTTCGAGCTCCGCTTCATGCGCCTTGACAAGCGCAGCCTTCTGAGCAGCCAGACGATCCTCGTATTGGGCAGCGAATTGCTTGTAGTGGCCAATCTGCTCCTCAGCCTGGGCAACGGTGGCCTGAAGGGAAGGCTTCTTAAGGACCTGGGCCTTCTGGTCGTTGTTGATCTTCTTTTCTTCAATCAGTTCATCAAGCGACTTGCCGGGGTTTTCGGCGATGATGGCGTCGACTTTGGAGAGAGAGTTCTGGTTAAAAGGACAGGAACGTTAGAAATGTATCAAAAGAAGCAGATTGAAACGAAAGGACACTCGATAATGACTCACCAACTTCTTCATGGCATTGCGAAGTGTCCTAAACGCGGCATACAGTTAGCTCACTTCCACTTGCGCATAGGCAATAACCACACCACCAGGTCCATTCCATAAGATTTTAAAACATACTTTTGTAGCTCCTTCAAGTAGGCATTCTCTTGACCGTCAGAGTTAGGGCTCTCCGGGTCCTTGGAAACGCTTGAAGCTCGGGAGCCCTTCTCCTCATCCTTGAGCTTCTGGGTAGCGGAAGCGGGAGGCATGATGGGAATGGTAACACAGATATTAAAGTATTTCCGAAAAGCTTGTACAAGTCTTGAAGAATTAAACGTGATAACGTTGAAGAAAAGATGGGTGTTATGAAGGAAGAATCAACATGCGGGTCGGGAACCCTTTCTTGGTTGGTGTGGCCCACTGGCTTTGGGCACTCTCTCTCTACGCGTTAGCGCGAAGCAATTAAGCAATCATAGCACTGGACTATCTCTATAAATGCGCAATTTACAAGATAACTGATTTGTTATTAGATTTCTTCCATTGTATTGCTCCAGGGTATCATGTTCACATTCGCCCACAACGCCATAATATCACAAAATGCAAGCCATTCGTACAGTATTCCCCCCTCGCCTTTCATATTCATGCTAGGCAGTCTTCGCCATGATGACAGATCAAGGTCTATATCCTCGGCTCTTCTATCCCTGGAACTTGCGCAGTGTTTTCTAAAGGAGCCCATACTTGTCAACTGTGTGTTCTCACGTCTCTCCTAGAGAAGCTCTGAGATCGACCTCAAAAAACGCACCTCAGTGACTTTGCGCACGGTATTCGCTGAGATATTCTTCTCGCCAGACTTGCGTGACCGAATCGACACCTCACGCATTAATCTAAAGTGTGTTAGCCCCATCGTCAGTTCAATCATGTCGGCGAGAATGCGAATCGGAGGGTTGCGACGGGTGGAGCAAGCCACAAGGATAGACGGAGACACACTCTTGCATGAATAGCATGTAGTCCAAGAAGATCTATAAAGCTAGTATTAGCAACTGGATAATAGAGAGGCCTCATACAGGACGATCGCGTACCAGGATGTCGGCATTCTGGCTCACACTCCGATTGGAGTGGGCTTTGACAATTCGCTTGACTGTTCCTCGTGGATAAAGTTTCTGAACTGCCACCATGACGAGTGGAATAGAGAAGATGGTGAAGAAGAAGACGGGGTGTTCAATATTCAATGTTTATCCCCCAAAAAGGATGTGGAGAGCTCCCTCATCTGACCGAATACCGTAACTTACGTAATTTGGTGTTTGTCCCCGCCATGTCTGAAACAGGTGATGTATATCGAAGTAAGTCTTCAATTTTATTATGTACAATCTTTGTTATAACTGTTATACTTCTAATGTACGCTTCAACGCCGTCGTCGAAGAATTCGCCAAGCTGAAATACCAGCAATTGAACCAATGGCTACACGCCAGGCCAGGAAAACCCAGATTGCCATACGCAAGCGGTCGTAATACCCGCGGAGCATGATCCCCACAGCATAAGAAGTCCCATCTGTTGCTTGGTCCGCCGGACCGTAGTATCTTCCTACTCCGAGACCACCGATGCCCACTTCATTGTGATCATGTTCGACATTCGTCCCCTGTGTGACTGAGAGTGCGGCCGTTTCGCTATTAGCGGCCGTGTTACTAGGACGAGCACCCGATCTCACATTTAGTGCATTACGCTTCCGCAGACTATAAGTCACAATGCTTACAATCAGCCGCAGATCAGGCACGGTAAATGTTGGATATTTCCACAACTGCACAGCCTGGTGTGGAGGGAGCATATCCAAGAAGTCAGCCAGGATGCCGAGGGTGAGACCCCAGAGGAGCAGCGGGCGGGCAGTGTCACTCGAATCCGCTTGCCCACTCAGGCACCACCCCTTGAAGCGCTGAACCAGGGAAGGTTTGAGTGTATCCTCTTTAGGAACAAATCCTGGAGTTGTAGTGCATTGATGAGTTTCCGACGGGAGGAGCCTCACGGCCGAGAACTGCATCCAGCCCATCAGAGACCTAATTGCGAGACGGGTCAGAAACCCGCCTTGGCGAGCGAAGCGCTGCGACATATCCACATATTCCACAGTCCGCAGCGATGGTGATAGGAGGGCGCGCAGGGGAATCCAATGTGTTGATGCTACTTCCGTGGGCTGCAACCTAAGGGTCGGGGAGTCGCTGCGAGTCGTGAGGAAGACGAAAGGACAAAGAACCATCAGCCTGCCATTCAAGTCAGTAACCAGTTCTCGGCAGCGAAAGCGAATGGCACTCGTACGGTTCAGACCCCCAGCTGGTAGTAACAACCCGCTCAGGGAGATTACCCACACTAATTATATCCTCCGTTGTCAAATCCAATCCGATTTCCTCTGAAGCTTCCCTGATAGCCGCAGCTTTATCGTCCGCATCTTCCGGATCTCGCTTTCCGCCCGGGAGGGCAACATGGCCAGTCCATCGGTCCCCCACGCGCGAAGCACGCTTGATGAACAGAACCTCCGGTTCGCCATGCTGGACCCATCGCTGTGAAAAAAACTCATCTAGACGTTGTTGGGCTGGCTGAGAACCATCGTTTGTGGGGTTTGTGCCGGGCCAATGGTCGTAGGTTGGTCGTACCCGAATAATCAAGGCAACCGAGGCGCGTTTCTTGCAGGTTGGGGGATTTGGGACGTAAGGATAAGGTTGGCGATGTAGCTCGGTTAGTACGCCATGCAGATGATGGGACAGGCCCGGGGCTGCAGACTTCTCCATCAAGTTGTGTACACTCGGTACGGAGTATGTACTATTTCGATGTCAAAAGGATCCTTGGATGGAGGATATCGGTGTATCGAACGAGCCCATGTGCACGTGCCTCTTTCTGGTCCCGATTGGGGCGATATCGGTCTGGCCCGTTACCCCCGTACTGTAAAATAATATCGGATTATAGTTTATCCAGATAGCTAGTCATCATCCGGTCCACTGATGGACTCTGATTGGTCTCATTCAACGAGCACGTGCGTCTATCGGTGGCTATGGACGGTTTCAGTCTCAAGCTGCGACATGCATGTCCATTAATTTCAAGCTAATGAGCTATTTCTTTTTTAGACCTCTGCGAATATCTTTCGATCTGCAGTTGAATAACAGCTCTTGCTTTGCTTTTTATTTTCTGAAGACCAGTCTCAGTCCTCAATCCTCTCTTCCCCCTTTCTAAACCCCCAATCAGAGGTGCACGCCACCCGGCCATCTCTGAGTAACACCGCCATTGACAACTGGGCTGGCTCAAAATGCGGTTTGGGAAAACCCTCCGTGCTGCGGTGTACCCTCCCTGGAAAGGGAAATACATTGACTACACCAAGCTTAAGACATTACTGAGAGAGAATGATGTCACCCGGAACGGAGAAGACGCCAGTGACTCCGATGACGATCAATGGACTGAGCAAGATGAGGAAGCTTTTGTGCAGGAACTGCTCAATGTAGAACTGGACAAGGTAAATTCTTTCCAATCAGAGACTTCGCAGCAACTCCGAGAACGGACAACAGCATGTGAAGTTAAACTACGACCCTTGGCATCTACCCCGGAGCAAGAAATTCCCGCTCTTGATGAACAGAAGAAACGGGCCATTGCCTCGGAAGTTCTGCAAGAACTCGATAACATCACCAAGGAAGTTAGTGCCTTGGAAAAGTACAGCCGAATCAATTTCACTGGTTTCCTTAAGGCTGCAAAGAAGCATGACCGCAAGCGAGGAGCCCGATACCGGGTGAAACCTTTGCTCCAAGTGCGACTGTCGCAACTTCCATTCAACTCAGAAGACTATTCGCCGTTGGTCCATCGGCTCTCGGTGATGTACTCCTTTGTTCGAGAGACCCTTAGCCATGACATCGTGCAACCAAGGGAGGCAGAGCATGGATTTGGCCGTGAGACCTATTCGTCTTACAAATTCTGGGTTCACTCGGACAACGTTTTGGAGGTCAAGACTCACATTCTTCGTCGATTACCAGTTCTTATCTACCGGCCGGGAACTTCCAAGGACCTCGATACCATGACTGAAGACCCCACCATTACTTCTCTCTACTTCGATTCCCCTCGGTTTGATCTCTACAACCAAAAGGTCGCACGAGCACCAGAAGCCGGATCTTTGCGACTACGCTGGACGGGATCCCTAAAAGATAAACCTGCTATCCAATTGGAAAAGAAGATTGTCACCGACGACGACGAAAGTCGCCAAGTCAAGGTACAGCTCAAAGACAAGCACATTAAGGAATTTTTGGACGGCGAGTACCGCTTCGATAAGAAGCTCCACCGCATGGAGGATTCGAACAATGGAGAGTCGGCCGCCGCCGAAGCCTTGAAAAAGGATGTGGATGAGCTGCAGTCATTCATCAAGGACAATGACCTGCAACCCATGCTCCGGGCCAACTACACGCGCACCGCCTTCCAGATTCCTGGTGACGATCGAATTCGTATTTCCCTCGATACCAACCTTGCGCTCATCCGGGAGGACTCCCTCGACAGTGAACGTCCATGTCGCGATCCAGCTGAATGGCACCGTACTGACTTGGACGACGCCGATATGACTTATCCCTTCAACGCCGTCAGAACTGGAGAGATCACTCGCTTCCCTCACGCTTTGCTCGAGATCCAGCTTCGAGGCAAGGCCCATAACACCGAGTGGGTCAAGGACCTGATGGTCTCCCACCTTGTCAAGGATGCTCCCCGCTTCTCCAAGTTCGTCCACGGTGTTGCCTCACTGTTTGAGGACTACGTCAACAGTTTCCCCTTCTGGCTTGGTGAACTTGAAAGTGATATTCGCCGTGATCCCGAAACTGCATTCCATGAGGAGCAAGAGCGACTGGCTCGACGAGCGGAGGAGAACATAGCAGTGGGCAGCTTCATGGGAGACGCGCGTAGCCCAAGTGTTCACCCACAGGTCGGGTCACCTTACCGATACTCTAGTGCAGGCTCTCCCTCGGTCATGCGGAGATCCTCAGCAGTCACCGAACCTGCAGTGCGGCACCCACGCCCCTCAGTCGCCGAGCCCCATCGCCGTGATACCGAACCCGCTCCCGAACCGGAGGAAGAACCCGAGCCACCCACTCGCCTCGAGTCCATCTTTCAATCCTTGGGCCTATCTCCTCAACGCTGGCTTGGAACGGAGTCTGTCTCTTTGCCGCCTGGCGTTCGACACCCCGGCGTCTGGATCAAAGATTCTGGGCCCGTTCGTGTGGAAAGTAAGGTTTACCTTGCCAACCAGCGAACCTTTATCAAA